AAGAAAGCGTGAGCAAGACCGCGGCAAAAGACAGAAAGAGGAGGAAGACCAGGAAGGAGAGCTACGCCCATCTATGTCGTACAAAGGTGATGAAGCAGGTCCACCCCGGACACCGGCATCGCCTCCAAGGCGCATGGGGCATCATGAACTCGTCGTCAACGACATCTTCGAGCGTATCGCCGGGGAGAGGCCTCTCCGTCTGGCTCACTACAACAAGCGCCTCCACATCACCTCCAGGGAGATCCAGACGCCGTCCGCTGCTGCTGCCCGGGAGCTGGCCAAGCACGCCGTGTCCGGAGGGCACCAAGGCCGTGACCAAATACACCAGCTCCAAAATATAACGGCTCCGCTTCTTCTCAACATCTAAACCAAAGGCTCTTTTAAGAAGCCACACACTTTATTCTGAAAGCGCAAAGTTTCATGTTTCCTAATGAGATTGTTAAACAATTTATGTATTTTTAACTGTTTGTTATAACTTATTAAATGACAATGAGATACCATATGTTGACGTATATTGTAGATGCTGGAATACAGAACACCTTTACTCAACACTTAAAAAGATAAGAGCAAGTTTATCTGTTATGTTACCAGGAGAAATAGACGACCCAACACACTTTCGATAGCATGCCAGTGTGTGAAGTATAATTAGTAGTTGATTAACGTAATATATAGACACCAAGAGTCGGTAAAACAACTTGTGACGATTCTGACACTAGATATTTATGAGGGTATTAGTGAAACTGGCTCAATACAGGAGAAGAGTAAGATGCATGTTGTTAGCACAATTAAATAGATAAAATTCATACGGTACTGTTTTGTCCTCTTTTTTTTTGAATATATATTTAATATCCTTAATGGGGTTCTCATGTTTATGAATATCGCAGGTGGGACTCAGATTTCTCTTATAAATCCTTTTAAATACTTCAGAAACACAATAAAAAGAGTTTGACAATAAGAGAAGATGTTTGTTTAAAGACTAGAAGTAAAATCAGTGAGCTCTTTTCAATAATTTTGTATTAAACAGAGGTTAGTTTGGTGACTGCAAACACAAAAGTTACTTGGGGCTTTACACATCCTCTGACAGACAGTCATTGAGTCTGTCATTAGTGTTATTCTGCTTTATAATCCACATACTTGAGACAATGTAAACTAGTTTTTACTAAATAAGACAAATGTACATAAAATTAACATTTTCTGATTTATTTTGCACTTCAGGGAGATTTGTTCAACTTTTCTACTGAAGAAAACAAAGTAAGCTGCTCATATGGGCCAACGCCTGTCTAAGGCTTGTATCAGCTGGAGTTCATTATAACTATTTAATGAATAAATAATGATATTTCCTGTGAGGACATATCTAGTAATCAATATATAATGATGATGTTAAGGTATCACTTCAGTTGGGGTGCACAAAAACAACAGTTGTTACCATACTACATAACCTATTATTAATACACTGAAGTGCACTTGGTTGTATACTGTTGTTGTTGTTGTTGTTGTTGTTTTTTAAGTGGTTTATGTGTTTTTATGAAGTGTGCTCTGCTATATGGACAGTAATACTGTTCCTGTTTAATATATTTAATATAATGTGTTGTTTATAGCTGTCATTAAACCTGCCCAGTGACTGTAGTTTATAATTAGCCATATGTGCTAAACTGGCACATTTACTTTAATGTCCATTAATGTGATTTAAACTGTAAAAATACAAATAAAATGTGTTTAAGTAGTTAGTGATAAATGAGTCACTGATTAGTTTTGTACTGTTCACCAGTTAATCAGGAAGGACTGATAACGATTGATTGATATAAACTAATCATTCATCAGGCTCTTTCAGTCTGTTCTCATCATCTTTACATTCCTCCATTGTGAATTATCAGTGACTTTTTAAGGATTCAGCAATTCTTAAGTGATTAATTCCTCACTTATTTCTAAAATAACTAATCATTAAATATAAGATTCATCAGGAGTTCCTCATATAATTGTAAAGAGTTACCCTACATTCATTATTGTTATTAAACACACATGAACTTAAATTAATCACAACACACAGATGTAGAATATAATTAATTTGCCAAACCAAACAAAATAAATAATAAATGTTACAGTGAAGTAGGAGACATCTTGTGTCCAGAAGAAACATGAACACAGTTTGCATATTAATAGATTCTTAGGAGGTAGATGAAGAAGATTAAATCCTATAAACTGCTAATACAAACAGGGATTATGACATAATGCTCCAGTAAGGCTCAGAGTGGCCCAACATAACAAACAAGTGTAAAAGGCTTTAATATACAGATGTTGTTGATCGCTGGAGAGCCTATAACACATTACTTTAGATTAATTATAAGAGTAAAATGCTAAAAAAAGAGAGAATTAACACCATAACACATTAAAGTGATCGGCTTAAGTTCAATAAAAAAATGTCTGAAGATTTGGAAATAACACTATATTGATCTATAATGCCACCTTTGATATTTCTATTCAATGTTTTATTAATGTGCAACTATAATGTTTTTTTTTAGTTCAAATATCTTCGTTTTGAGGCCGTTAACTCAAACTGGTTAAATTCACTCTGCAAGTCTTTTTTGCTCAGATCTGATTTATTTATGTTTGCTTCATTCACATTATATTTTTAATCCACTGTGAGAACGTCTAAAGTGATCTTTATTGTTAAAATGTGTAGAAGTCAAACTTTACCCACAGAACTAAAATATATAAACTTTCAGATATGTTTTCATATTCAGGAGTTTCTGTTTGTTTTGTTTTTGTGATTTAATACGTGCTTATGTCTGTTATGTACACTGGAGGTCAACATCAGAACCATCTGATTTAATCTGCTTAATATGTCATTTTATTATTATTCTCATGTATTAGATGTGTATTGGTGTTTTATTCTTTAATTTGGATATTTGAACAGTTTGAGTTATTTGCCCCAGTGTGTGTTTTATTGTTAGTATTTAGTTTTAGTGATGGGGTCTTTTATTCTCACTTTATGGTTATGATTGTATTGTTTGCTTGTTTTAATCCTGGTTCTGGCCATAAAAAGGTACTTTGTGACTTTATTTAAACAGCACTTTTCAAAAGCAAATATATTATTATTGAAAAGCTCAGATTTGAGCAAAAAAAGGGATAGCAAGACAACAAAGAACTGGAGGATGCTGAAGAGGCCTGGATGTGGATCCGTGAATCAGGGTACCAACTCGGGGGTCGATCGCCCCCTGGCTGGGCCGGAATCCCCATGCACAGAAGGAAATTAAATTATAATGTTGTAAGTAATGTGACATAAGACTGGAAATCAGCTCCTATGTTTGACATTTGGGCGGCTCTTAAAAGAGCCTTTAGCAAACTTGGAGGGTTTACTTTTTAGGCCTTTCAGTCGCTGTCTTCGGACTCTTCCTTCACCGGCTGTGTCTTCGCTGTCTGCGGTCTCGTCGTGGCGGCCGGTTGTTTCGTATTATCGGCCTCTTTCTTCACTTTCTTCTTGATTTTATCTGCGGCCTTAAAGGACCCGGACACCCCGCGTCCGGCCACCTGCACCAGCTGACCTTTCTCCAGTAAACTCTTCACGGAGCGTTTCAGGTGGACGGCGTTGTACGTCTCCGTGTCGTATCCTTCCGCGGCCAGCGCCTTCCTCAGGGCGCAGAAAGACAGACCTTTCCGGTCCGTGCAGGCGGACACGGCCTTCAGGATGAGATCTCTGGTCGGGATCTTGGTCTTCTTGGAGTCTTCGGCCATCGTGGTACCAGAGAAACTCCCTCGATTTGACCGATTTTACAAATAAAGGCGTACTTCCGGTGAGAGAGGTTCTTGAACGCACCATGAGAACCGTGGAGACTCAACCCAGCCGCCCGCTGCAGCAGGAAAACTGAGACACTTTGTGTTTTCTCCTCACCAATAAACGTCTAAAAAACACATATGGAGGACGTATTAAAGTGTACACTATATTTTAACTGATAAAGGAGAAGTATGTCTTCATATGGAAGTCAAATAAAGCTTCCAAGGTGTTTTTATTTAGATTAGGAAGCCGTTAAACCTCCCACATCGGCCGCCGCGAGAGGCTCTGCTGCTGGTCTTTTCCTTCCGATTTCTCTTATAAATCCTTTAAAATACTTCAGAAATCCACTAAAACCGGTTTGACAGTGAGAGAAGATGTTTGTTTAAAGATCTGAAGTGAAATCAGTCAGCTCTGGCAGTTAATTCTGTATTAAACAGAGGTTAGTTTGGTGACTGCAAACACACTCAAAAGTCATTCATTAGTTCAATTCACAGCATTCACTGATACTTGAGACAATTAATCATTAAAGCACAGTGATGTGTTATATACACATAAAATAAACATTTTATCTGACTTATTATTTTACTATGGGAAAATCTGTTCTAGTTTTCTACTGAAGAAATCCAAGCATAAAGTACTTGGATTAAAGTTGGATTGAAATACATTGATTAATTAAAAATAAATAAAATATATAGATAAAAAATAAGAACATTTGCTCTGCTAACACTGTGTTGTTCATCGTTTATCATACATTTAGACTATTATTATTAGTAGTATTTGTAGTAGTCAAACCCCCCCTCCACCTCCTGCTGTGTCCCTTTAATGGAGCTTTATTATCAGGGGAGAACAGACATTTACATTGACAAAGCAAGTGTGAAATGTAAACAAAATACTTGCATAAATAGAATAAGTGGGGTTTTCTCCACAGTGCTGGCTTATAGTGCTAATAGGCTCTTCTGTACCATCAGACTCCACAAAGCCACACTCACTGTTAAAAGACTATTAGGTGGCAAAAGTAAGTCTTTAATAGAGTATATGTACAGATCCTTGTGTAAAGTGTAAAGTAGGTGACTATTATGAGCTGGAGCTCCACCGCTACCCTGATCGAACTATGTTTTACTCCAGTGGATGTAAATAGTTTTACTTTAAAAAAAATACTGATTAAACTTCTCCACTGAAGTAAAAAAAAGTAAAAACTACTAACTAACATCATTCTAGGGCTCATATAACAGTTTGACCACCAGGAGGAGCCACCATACTATTATACTAACTTGATCCACTAGATCTAGAAGAATCACAATAATTCATATTAGCTGTGGGGGTCAAACAGGACGAAGGCAGCAGCCTAACCCTAACCCTAACCCTAACCCTAACCCTAACCCCAGGCACAACCAGGATCTAGTCTAGGCCTTATGCAGCACTTAACTAAAAGAGATGGGTTAGGACTTCACCTGAGCCAAGCCTAACTATAGAGCCTTTATCAAAGAGGAACGTCTTAAGCTTACTCTTACAGTCTTTTTCCAATTGCTAAAACACAATTTTGCAAACTAGGCTGGTTTTATCAAAATACTTAACACAATTCACAAAACCACAAAATACCTCATATATCCTGCAAAATGAAGCACTGCAACCAAAACTACATATAGCATTATCAAAATCAAACTTTTGCACCAAATGGCACACACTTCATTCATATTACCAGATTTTTGTCTAACCAACTACACACTGTTGGGCATAATGAAAAGCACTCTCATCTTTAGTATGCTTTGCCATAATACTAAAATAGTTCAAATTGTAGAAAATTCTTTCAATTGTTCACATTGCCAACAGGAAATATTGCAGATTACACACACACGCTGTTTGAAACAATTTAGTTTTATTGTTTTCACCAAACAAGCTCCAGGGGCAACATACCGCACAGCAGATATGTTAACATTGGAGTGAACAGAAAATATGCTCACAAAAAAACCAGTAAACTGAAAAGGAAAAGGTCTTTTTTCAGTTGCTTCCTTCCTGACTTTAAGTGGTAACAATTAATCATTGAGGTGGTTTGCCAGGTGGACATATATAGGCACAATGGCGGTGTTTTGAAATGGCAAACGTGACTTTATATCAGGATTGTTTTGTGTCTTATGCGCAGAAACCGTGTTCAAGTGCATTTAAAAAGGGCCTTTGCTGTTGAAACATTTTATATATTTTTTATTTTTCACCAAACAAGTCATTTTGAATTGCAAAATGTGTGTAAAGCAGAAAATGTGTTGTGATGTGAGAAGAGGTTTTGCTCTCTGTGTGTCGGTTTAAATAATTGTGCTATGTCATTTAAGTGACTCATCAAAACATAATGAATATACAAGAGGTTGAATCAGGAACATGTCTGCTTTCTGTGCAGGTACAAAGAGGTCACACCTGAGTGTCAGAGCGGAAACCCTCCTGAGCTCAGTACTGCTTCTCTCTTACTTACTGATCTCACATACTAATGATAACTTAAGTTTTCTTCTTAGTTTTCTTCTTTGCATAATTAAACAGTCCAAACCTCAAAATTATTACAAATAAATTAAAATTATTACAGTAATTATAAGTGATTTGTAAAGGTGGAACCATGAGTTAATTTCATCTCAATCAATTCATTTAAAAAACGACTGGCGGTTTCAGTTCATTTATAACAAAACCTCATATTTCATAAACATTTCTAATGTTTTTTGTGTAAAAATCAAAATGAAGCGAAATGAAGAACAATTGTTCCCTCTGAAATCAAATAAAAGTAGAAAGTGACATATAAGAAAAACTCAAGTACCTCAATCAGAATCAGAAATATTAAAATAATCATAAGAAGAACATTTCACATATAACAAATATGCATTATATTACAATATATATAGAAATATAAAAATATAATAAGAGTCTCAACCATGTACATAATATTTCAATATATAGAGATATACATAACACATAGGAATACTATAGTATATGACAGTACTATAATGAATAAATAGTATTAATGAGTACTGACAATGTTCATATTGAGAACTGAATCCTTAATAAAGCAGACACAGACTTTAGCTTTCAGGTCATATTCATTATCATATTATTATTATAGTCTTATGGTTATTTAACTCCCTTTTTCTTTATGGATTTAATGTTGAAATTGTGTATAAATGTATTTAATAATGATTGTTTCTGATGAGTTTATTTGATGTTATAAGGAAGTCAATGGACATACAGCTTCATATGTAGTTGTGACAGTTTGTGGTAGTTTATATGGAAGTTGGGGGCTATGTATGAGCCTTTGTGCTGTGACAGTGCTAGATCAATGTCTTACACATTTCAGATTCTAATAATATGATCTAAGTTGTATTATGAATAAATAAGTAACAATTATGGTAAATTAATGACACACTCAGGTTCAGGAAGTGTAACTCCACCAGTATGCAGTTACCAACGGGAGTGTGTTTGCAGGTACCAAAATAACTCCCGTTTAAAAAATAAATAAGAACAGCAGTTGGATGTTTTTACTTTGGTTCTCTGAACAAACATCTTCTCTTATTGTCAAACTCTTTTTATTGTGTTTCTGAAGTATTTAAAAGGATTTATAAGAGAAATCTGAAGGAAAAGACCCGCAGCAGAGCCTCTCGCGGCGGCCGATGTGAGAGGTTTAAAGGCTTCCCAAACTAAACACAAACATCCTTAAAGCTTTATTTGACTTCCATACGTAGACAAACTTCTCCGCTATCATTTGAAGTCGTTTTGATGCTTTAATAGGTCCTCCAGGTGTGTATTTTCTACATTTATTGGCGAGGAGAAAACACAAAGTGTCTGAGTATTCCTGCCGCACTGGTGAGCGGCGGGCTGAGTTGAGTCTCCACGGTTCTCATGGTGTGTTTAAGTTCCTCTCTTGCCGGAGATTTCTCCATCAGTCACATCGGACTAGTCGAGAATTGAATCAGCACGATGGCAGAAGTCGCACCAACCGCCGCCCCGGCTGCCCCAGCCAAAGCACCCAAGAAGAAGGCCGCCAAGCCCGCCAAGAAGAGCGGACCGGGAGCCAGCGAGCTGATCCTGAAAGCCGTGGCCGCCTCCAAGGAGAAGAAAGGAGTCTCCTACATCTCCCTGAAGAAGGCGCTGGCCGCTGGAGGCTACGACGTGGAGCACAACGCCGTCCACATCAAGCGCGCCGTCAAGAGCCTGGTGGGCAAAGGAGCCCTGGTCCAGACCAAGGGAACCGGAGCGTCCGGCTCTTTCAAGGCGAGCAAGACCGCCGAGAAGCCCAAGAAGGTGGTGAAGAAAGTGGTGAAGGCCAAGAAGTCCCCGGTGAAGAAGGCCGCCGCCAAGAAGCCAGCGGCCGCCAAGAAGCCCAAAGCCAAGGCGGCGACCCCCAAGAAGGCCAAGAAACCCGCCGCAGCCAAGGCCGTGAAGAAGGCGACCAAGAGCCCCAAGAAGGTGGTGAAGAAGGCGGCCGCCCCCAAGAAGGCCGCCACCCCGAAGAAAGCAGCCAAGAAGGCGGTTAAGCCCAAAGCCGCTAAGCCCAAAGCCAAGAAGGCAGCAGCAAAGAAACCAGCAAAGAAGTAAACGCAACCTGATCTTCATCAACAACGGCTCTTTTAAGAGCCACCCAAATCACAAAGAGAGCACTTCTCCTGTTCACTGTCTGTGAGGCCGATTTATAAACTCATTATAACGTGTAAAATATAACGTACTTTCACTTAGAAACGTGACGGAATTAGCTTAAAATCTGCTGTTTTCATAGAAATCAGCGGGATTTATAATCTACCCTGGCAGCCTGTAAGTGAGCAGAGGACACAAAGTACAGACGGTATAAAGATTATACACATTATTAAAATAACTCACAGTTATATTATAGGATTATTACACTATTGGAGAAACTTTACATCATTTTAATTAGATCATGGACCATCTGATTCATGTTGCAGTACATCAGTGGATTCACTGTCAGTTTAATATTAATATAAATGAGATTATACAGTGT